CTGGTGTTGAGACAAACTGTGCCAGAGAATTCCCTCTCTCTCCGAGGAACTGCTATCATTACGCAGAGAGATTAGCCAGCCAGGAGGATGTGCTCTTGGGGAGAGAGATAACCAAAGAGAATGCTCTTCTCTAGCAGGCTTGCTAGAGCTGACTTAGGACAGAAAAGAGAAATGAGAGGATAGCAAGAGGAGAAAGGATTCCCTTTCATGAGCAGACCAGTGGACCGGGGGAGATGGCCAGAGAAAAGCCTAGGTCCTTCCTAGTGAGCTAATGAACTCAATGCAAGAGAAATGCTGCTGGCTGGGAGGCAGGTGTAGGTCTTTGGGGTTTGGGCTAAGGGCAGACATAATGGACAAAAACTGATAAGCACTTGAGATATGAAACATGGGAATTCATTGGAATCAAGGACAATTTTCAGGTCCCCAAGTATAGTACAGGGATGTGGTCTAACACTCAAATCCAAGTTATATCCATTTCTGGTGTAATCAGAGGAGGGTGAGGACTCATTTCATTCTGTCTTCTCCATTCTAACCACTGAAGTCTGGGGTGCAAGCAATAATGTGGCTCAAAATATGGCTGTTGCTGTTGCCAGCTGGTTGAGAGAAGGGAGTCCCCTTATCTTGCCCCTGGTGCCTTGGTGACTTCCCTGTGATGGAGACAGACTGCTTCCAGAGGCTGCCTTGCCAGATGTGCCAGCAGGTAGCCTGGCCAGAGAGCCTGCAGTGCAGACAGATGCCCTGGGCCATATTCAGGATGGTGAGATCCTTTATGGTATTGTGGCTCAGCTCTGAGGCAGTGCCAGAGTGGCAGTGTAATGTTTCTCAGCTAGATTCATTTTTCCCCAAACCTCTTCAAAGTTGTAGGCCATGGAGGGAGGCAAATTTAATTAAATTACTGTGTCATACACTGCCCTTCCTGGGCAAGGGCTAAAAATGGGCTCATGCTGACATGCAAACCCATCTGTATACACAGAGCATGTGTTTCTTTGTGCTGGACTATCAGCAGCTGGAAAGGGCTGGACCAGGTTAGCTGGCCCCTTTCACTGCAGCAAGGCAGAGGCAACAATAATCCAACCCAAGTCCCATATGGCTCTGATGACCTTTTCCTTTCCACTTAAAAGAAGATTGAGCAGCACTTCCTCTTTGTCCACCCGTTCATTTCTCCTCAAATGCCTCTCTTGCTGGCGCTTAGGACTTTCCTGTAAAAGGCCCTGCCCATTTGCTGTAATGGTTAAGGAGTGGAGCTGCAGTGAGGTGCAATTCAGAAGACTGCATGGGCAGGGTTGGCTGAGCTTGGCAGGAGATGGAGGGGTCTCCCGGGCGATTCTCTGGAGTGCTACTTCAGCAGTTCCCTATTGGCAACACCATGCTGGATGGAGAACCCTTGTTGTGTGCCAGAGTAAAGTAGCAAAGCTTCTTCTCCCCTTTCCCTGCACAAATGTCATCCTGGATATAGGACTTGAGCAACAAACAGAGGCAAAGAAGACTGGGAGCAACCAGAAGCATTTGACAGTGGAAATCAGCAACCAAAACAAATGCTAGCAGTGCTGAACCTGTCAACCTCACAAGATCACTTCATTTCCCTCGTAAGGCCCTGTCCTTGTGGAAGTTCAGTCTCCAGTTTGCAGAAAGCATAAAAATGCTGTTCTTGGGTAGTGCTGGTGCTGAAGCCAGAAAAGGGTTTCCCTCTGCTGCTATGAACCAGCCTGAGATGGAATCAATTGGTCTGTACTTAAACAGCAGACACCAAGGGTTGCATGATGGTGGCTTTTCCATTCACAGTCAAGACTGGGAAATAGTCAACTGGGCAATCTTTTCTCAACTTGCCCCAGAGAATACAGAGCTGTCCCTCATATCTGAAACTTTACTGGATGCAACACGTGAGTAGCTGGGTACCGAGTGTCAACAGGAAAAATCTCCCTGGGTAAGCAGTAGCTGCATTTGTGCAACCCCCTTGTGTGAAAGGAATCCTGGTATCAAACAGACGCCTAGGGGACTGGAACAGTGCAAGTGACTTTGGGGCAATGGCAACCCTTCTACAGGTCCCTCTCTAGGTAGGTGATGCAATGTGAGACGGAGGAAGCTCCCCATTCCATCTCTAAGCCTCTGAATGGGCAGTAAGTCCTTCCTGGAACTCTGCTATCCCCTGATACAATACTGAACAGCTCTAGGGCTGTTCTGACATAATTGGGGTGGGTGGTAGTGTATCTGCCACATATTGTTGCTGGCTAAAGTTTCTGGCTATGAATATGATGGCTGCTTTCAGGACAAAGACAAATATTGCTAATTCAGGTCCTTGGGACCCACCATGGCAACCTGGACTGTGCCTGCAGGTCACTCTTGATCTAGCATTTCCATATGACGAGACTTTCTGGACAAACTCAGGGCACTAAAATTTGGTTAGACCCAAGCAAAAGTGAGGAGATCTGAAGGAGTCTGTTTCCTGTGATTAAGTGGTAACAAGAAGAGAAAGTGACAAAATTTAGACAAGGAGTCTGAAACTGTCATGAAGAACATGACACTCATTGGTGAGATCTATCCTGTGGCTTTAGAGAAATGAGAAGGTTCCTGGGTACTCTACTCTGGTAAAGGGCATTTCCTGTACCAAAGTGAATAGGAGAGCAGACCCCAGCCCTAGGCTGCAAGTAATCGTAACATTTCAGTGGAAATAAGGCCCCTTAATTCCACACCACACACATGGAACCTTGCCTCTGAGGAGAGCTCACCAAATCACTGGCTTCAAATTCTAGGGATAGACAGGCTTCTTAGTTAGGATGTTATTGGTCCTTGGGTGGCAATAAAGATATTTCATCATTATCGATGACTGAAAATATTCTTATCCTTAAGTAAATATACCAGGCTGTATACAGAGTAGGTAGTTATCTCAATCTTGATATTCCTCTTTAGGAAAGGGTTGCCTTGGGGGCTTATGCTGCTCCCTATTCAAGTAGCCCGTGAACTCTTGAGAAAAACTTTTGAAATAATGTGTACAGCAGCTAAGTGAGTGTTAGGATGCATAATGTGAACACTGGTATTGCTGTAACACTGGCATTAACACTGCTGGGGTCCCTGAGGGTTAGAGATGACCCAAATGAGCCGGTGAAAAGGTTGATAGGTGACCCAAAAGAGCTAGTGTATTTATACAGCGTGGCCCCACTCAAAGGCAAACAGGCACTATGGTGGACAGTTGCTGCCAGCTTCCCTTCCTTCTGTAGGCTGTTGCCGGAGTGGGCGATCTCACTCAGGCAGAACCTGCAGGATGGACCATAGTTTTGCTGCTCAGCAGTGAGCCAACATGGGGAAAGGCTGAGGATACCCCAAGGCCGCTGTAACCAATCTTCCTCTTGTAAGTTTGCCCATTATGCTGGCCATATTTGTTATCAGTCTGTTTCTGTTAGAAAGGGACAAGGAGAAGGGAAACTATTTATTTTGATGGTGTACTACAGGGTACACTGAAACCGACTATGAAAATGAGGAGTGATGCTTTGAGAGGTTGGCCAAAGACTGTGTTAAAAGAAGAAAGTGGAGGAAAAGAAAGTAAGGTGATTTCTGATATCAGCTCTGATTCTCTCAGTGCCCAATACTACTTAGGAGGCAGACAGGGTGAGACTAAGGCCATTTGCAAAAACAGATAAGCTTGAATGCAGGCTGTGAAGTGTTTTCTATACACACGAACATGAACTTTGCTCTATCCCTGTCCTAGGAATTTCAGATAATTTTGTTTTTCAAAAAAATCATGTCACCTTGATTAATATGCCAGAATATGAACCAAGAGCTGTCTTCACCTTAGCCCCAGGCTGACCTGTAGGCAACCAGCCCCTTCATCTCAGGAAAGCAGGGCAGAAAGGGATGGGAGTGGCAGACATTGCTGGGTACGGCTGGGGCCATCTGCACTACTGTGAATCAAGGTTGGCTCAGACAGAAGGCGCGAGGGAGGAGGTGCAGCTGCTGATGGCTCAGACAGCTTGGACCTGTCCAGGCAAACAAGCCGCTCAAGTGCAAGAACAGCCAGCCAAGTAGGCAGAGCACAAATAAGGACTTAAGGCTTGAAATATCTGACAAGATATGGAAAGAGGAGAGGAAGCTGTCTGGGATTTCACCTGGTGTCTGGCCTTCCTCTCACTGCTATGGTAGGCTCTTCTGCTACTTCTGAGTGGGGTGTGATGCTTGGGAGTTAGGCTGGAGCCTAACTCATCATTCTGGGAACAAATTGTAGAGACAGCTCCGGGTTGTTCTCCCCCACCAATACTTCTCCCCCAAAATTACACTCTTGTCCACAGATAAAACTATCATTTTTCTGCTCATTTGCCCAAAGTTAAGAAGCAGTGGGCTCTGTGTCTACCAAATACACAGTATGGGAGGATTAGCTAAGGAGGGGACATGGCTTCTCTGTTCACCCCTGTGCTTGGGAAAAGGGGTCCCAGCAATGGGCCATGCAGGGAGGACAAGCATTATTCAAGCTCCTTCTAGTGAAGACTAGTCTCAAGGCAATGCTCCTCAGCTCCAGGTATACATTAGCACTCAGGAAGCTGTTAAATACCAGTCTAGATCAAATAGATCATAATCTCTAGGGGTGGCGATGGGGACTTTGATATTTTAAAAAACATCCAGGGGATCAGAGAGACCTCTGCTCTAGACTCAAGAGGGAAGCAGGATAGAGGCTAGAAGCATTTTTTGAACATGGTTCTGCTTAAGCTTTCTTTCTTTATACTTTTTTCCTTTAGTTGTAGATAACCACAATACCTTTATTTATTTTATGTGGTGCTGAGGATAGAACCCACTGCCTCATCTGTGCAAGGCAAAGTGTCCCATCACTGAGCCACAACCCCAGCCCTGCTTAAGCTTTCTTTCAGGCTCAGGAGCTTGCCAAGTTTCAATGACTGTCTGCCCTGGAAAAACAAGGGGAAACCCTCCTTCAAACGTATCACCCACCTCAGAGCCCTAGGCAAAGAGGGAGAGAAAACAGATGGCTGAGATCCAGGAATACCAAGTGGGAGAAATAGAGGCACAGAAAGTTTATCCTTTATTCCAAAGCAAGTTGGAACAGAAACAAATGGCATCCTTCCCTCCAGCCTTTATAGCCAGAAACCTCCCCAATCAGTCAAAGGAGGCACTACAGGTAAATTTAGGCAGGCTCCCGATCACCGTGTGGTGGTGGTTCATAAGCCCAAATGAAAGAGAAGCCGATTTCTAAAATGTGAGGCTTGTGTCTCTTGGCATGGTGGCACTCCCTGCCAAGGCCTTTCCTTGGTTTGCTCATTCATTTGTATGCTTATTTAGAACCAAGGGCCAGCATCATGCTAGGTGCCAGAGAACTATGGAGATGAAGATTTGGTCCTTGCCTGGAGATGCTCAGCACCACAGGCAAACAACTGAAATGGTTAGGCTGTGCTGACAGCAGGCAGATGCACAGTGGAGAGCCTTGTAGAAAGCAGGCCAGAGCCAGGGGAAACCTTTTCCACTGTTCCATGAAGAAATGCAGCACAGGCTGCATAGTAAGTATACAGTGTTACCTTCAAGTACCTGGGGGCTGCTTGCCCTAGAAGTGGACTGAGGAGGACATTTACCAAGTTGGACTGTGGATGCATGCAGTGGACAGTACTTGGACCTTGAATCAGATGCTGTGGGAAAGACAGAGATGCCTGGGCCTTCCTGAGGGGCTGGGACATGGGTGGGGATGGAGTGTAACTTCTGTACCTCTCAAGGTTCCCCTAAGAGTTGGGAACAGGCAAACACTCTCTCAGTAAACACATTAGTAATACTGTATGTATTCTGAGCTGGTTGAGTGACCTGGGCAGTTGTAGCTCTCCCTCTACTTCAGTGTCCCTTAGCAACACAATTAGCTTAATGTTTAGGTGTAAGTCACAAAGCCACTTAAACAAAGAACCAACAGCTTACTAAGCCAGGGTCTTCATCAAGGCTGCGGTTATACAAATATAGTATAGAAGCTTCTTGCCTGAGCTCCTGAGCTCCATTTAGTTTGACTGCAGCAAGATGCTGTTTGTTTCGCCTGTTAAGCAGCCAGAGGAAACTAGCACTCAGGTATTGGAACAGGCACTGAAGACACAAAGGAGTCCCCATGTATATGCACACAGAGCTGAGAGTGCGTACGGTGTTGGGGCTGGGGGAAGTGGAAGTTTCAGCCCTTCCATTGCAGCCTTGGCCAAATCCCACTTGGAAAAGTGCTCAGTACTCAGAGGAGATGAGGACTCTCTTGTGGCATGTGTCATGATGCAGATGCAGCTGTCTTCTCTTTTCCTTGTGAGGCCTAAGAGACCCTCAGGATGGGGCATGCAGCGTTGGCAGGGGACAAGCAGGTAAAGCTCAAGGCATAGCAGTTCTCAGGCTGGTTATAGCAAGGTCACTCACTGGAGGACTGAGCTATCTAGCTGCCGCTCCAGTTCCAACTCTAGATACCTGTTCTTTGTGCCCATTCTATCCCCCAGAGTCAATACTGCTCACAGATACCTAGCCTGATAGATGAGGCTTATGCTACATAAAGCCCAAAGTTTAAGATGATCACCTAAGGTATAGGGATCCAAATTTAATCTCCTAAACTTATGATTAAGTCTTAACCTTAGCTCACATTAGAATCACCTGGAGAGCCTTAAAAAAAAAACCCTTAAATTTTTAATTAAAAATAAAGGTTCTATATGAAAAATTTGAATCCCTGAAAATAGTAATGAACTCCCATATACCCATCACCTAGACTCAATAATTACTAAAGTTGTCAACTTTATGTCACTTATCCCCTTTTCTTTGTTGAGGTATTTTAAAGTATATCTCATGCCTGATGCCATTTCAACCTTATACCCTTCTGAAAAAGATATGGTCATTTTCTTATGTAGCAACAATGCTATTCTCACACTTATCAAATTTAAAAAAGTTATTCTTTGGTATCAGCTAATATACTTGAGAACTTATAATAAAGAGCTGGGCTTGATGAGGCCAGAATCTCTGGAAGGAGGCCCAGCCATTAGTAGCTTCCATAAGCTTCCCTGCTTTGTGATGCCAATATGTTGCCAGGGTTCAGAACCACTGCCCTGGTCAATCTAGGATCATGCTGTGGGATCTTCAGCCAGTTCTGTCAATGTCCTCTAGTCCCTGACCATGTGGTACACAATAAAAGCTAAAGAAAATACAAAAAGTCATGGGCAAGATGAAGAGGAGGAAAACAAAAGCATAAAAAGTCGGCAAGTCACAGAACGGAATCCCTTGTATATTCCAAGGCTGTCCTCTGCTCAGGAGTTGAAGCCCACTCAGTTGATGCATCAGATCCATCAAAGCCTCGAGAAGCCTGGAAGGCGGGTGGTTCCCAGCTGCCCACGCTGCTTGCAGAGTCCTCGGCACCTCTACATTAGGCCAGCCTGCATTATTCCTCCTCCCTATTTCTAGCTCTTCTTGCTTCTGAACATGCTGGCAAACTTTAAGCTTTAGCACCTGGATCTTAGAGAGGATTAATTACATAGGCTATGGTGGTGGGGTGTGTGTGTGTCTGCGCAAAACTTCTTGGGTGTTGCACTGGAGTGTAAGAACCATATTCTTCAATTTTACTTTTCTCATTAAAAAAAAAAAAACCCTAAACAAAACATACTGCAAAAAGATGAGGCTGTATCACTGTAGCTAAAAATACCTCCACTGAGGGCGTCCGCTCACCAGCTCCTCAATTAGAGATGCTACAGGGCCCTTTGTGAGTTGTGTAGTGCTGGCAGCTCCACGGGGGCTCTGGGTGGCTGGGGACAGTCCCTGGAGCAGTGACTTGTGACTGCTGGTTGGATGGGGTCTGGCAAACAGCCAATGAGCCTGCATTGAGACTTACATGCTTCAGGTAACTTCTAAACCCTTCTTGCTTTATGGGCCCACTACTTAAGCCAAGAAACCTCTTGCCCTCTTCTACAATGAGCCAGAATTATGCCTGTCATAATACCATGATCTTGACCTCCCCAAGGTTCACATGAGAGTCAGCAATGCCACCCAACCTGACTCAGGATGTCTGTGGTGCTGAACAGCAACTTGCAGCTGTGGGTAGTGGTAACTAGACCCAGGTGAAGCCTCTTGGGGCCTCAGGAAAGGGCTGGCATCTGAAGGAACACTGTGCAGAGGCATGGGGCTTCTCAGCTTTCTCTGGATCTCTTTCTACATTGTCTTGGGGTATAGGCCATTTAGTCCAACATGCTCATCTGTACTGAAGAAGATGCAAACTCAGGGAGGTGAAAAGATTTTTGCCAAGTTCACAGAGTTGGTAAATGGAAGAGTCAGGAAACATGGCAATCTTAATAACACGTGTAATATGTTCAACTATGTCATGTTACCCTAATAACTGGATTCATTCTAAGCATTCAACAAGTGTTGAAAAAGCTATGGGAAAAGGTAGCTTCAGTCCAAGTGCCAAAGGGACCAAAGAATGTCAGCAGAATTGCCCGATGACCTGGGAATTCTTTAATGCAGAGGTTCTGAGGAACTCAGCACCTGAATCAGAGGTTCTGTGGGAACACTGTTAACTCCACATGTTGTAGTCTTCAAGTAGACATGAATGGTCTTCAGCCATTCCCTATTTTTGTCTGGTAGAGCAGGAAACATCTGGTATAAGTTTGACTAGGGCCTGTAGGAGAAAAGTGGGCAAGAACAAGTCCATGGCCAATTTGATTCAGGCATCGACCTCCTTTCTCATTTCTTGTGTGTGATCCTTATAAAAGAATTTGAAAGCGTAAGTTAAAAGGATGAGGGTAGGTGCAATTCCTAGTAAAACACACTCATAGAGAGGATAAAAAAATGACAAGGGGCAAGGGTTAAAAAAAAAAAAAGGTTGAATGGGAAAATGCATTAAAGAGGCAAATTTCTTCAAGAAGAGTACAATGCAAATCCAATATTTCCAGAGTGCTTAGTATGGACCCTTGCTAGTCTAGAGTCCTGCACTGTTCAACCTGGTGGCTGCTAAGCACATGTGCCTATTTAAATTAAAATTGAGCTTCAATGAAGATTTGGGTTCTCAGCTGTACTAACCACCTTTCAAATGCTCAATATCTATAGGCAGTGGCCACAGTATTGGACAGTGCAGATAAATAAATTTCCACTGATACAGAAAGTTCTGTTGGCTACTCATTGACTCTGGTTGTCTTCTTTCATTTCTTGATGGCTACAAGTAGCTTCTCAAACCCATTGGAGGAAGAACTAAACTCAGGAAAGCTAGAGGGTACCATATTCTATTCTCTAGCATCCCATTAAACCTGAAATCTCAAAAGAAGCTAAGAGCAAGTACATATGAATCTACAAGTGTACTAGGCTCACCAGGTCATAACCCTTTGTACCCCATGCTCTGTCTACACATTCATAGCCACTCTGACCTTTGCATATTTTATTCAGTTTCTATTTTACGCAGTTTTAATTGATGTTTAATAATATAGCTTAACTCTGCATGGTGTTCCAAGACCCTCACCAGGGGGCCGCTCACAGGCAGAAGCACAATTAATAGCAATCCCCAGAAAATTATGCCCTGTATCAAAGTTGTCATTGCACCATATAAATGCTTATTATTACTATTGAATTCTCCAGCCCTGACACCTCCCTGTGCTTACTAGGTAGCAGATAAACCTCTGTTTGTGTCTTCCCTACTCTACCACACCACCAGGACTAAATATAGTCCTTGTGTGTAAGTTTAGCTCCATTTAGCTGTTTTAAAAAGGAAAAATCAGAGTTAATAAAATTGGTGGAAAATGTGATTTATTCCTCCCCCACTTGACAACCCCTTAAAAGACATATGACATCACTACTGGCAAAATGGGGAACCAGCCTCAGCTAAGGGTAGGGAGTCTCTCATGTTGTCGGGCTCCCCAGTCTCCTGTGATAAAGCAGGCCCCTCAGCCCTGCATACTGGAGCTAGAGATAGTGCCTTGGGCCCACCTTGTGCTAGGGAGTTCCCTAAACAAAACAATGTAACCTGTCCTCCAGAAAAAGAAAAAACAGAGAGATAGAGGGGG